CCACATTAATAAAAACACCTTTTTTACTCTGTTTGAGAAATGCCCGTTCGATCGTAAACCATGTTTAATCTCCACATTTCCTGCGATTATGTCTGAATTACAATCTCTCATAACGAATGTGTGCTACAGATGATTCTGAATGAAATATGCAAAGCTATTGATATTCATGGAGGATTGATTTGTTTTGGGCCATTATAAACCCAGTTTAGGAGAGCTCTTCTGACAAAATGTTGGCTATTTAATCTCTGCTAGGCTGAAATTATAAGCTGCTGAATATTTATTTATTTATTTATATCAAATGGCAGGCGTTTTGATAGTTATCATTAGCCCTGGAGCTGACTTCGGGGCTTCACAGAGAGGAGGAGGAACATCAAGGTGACAAAAAGTCGCGAGGGGGAACAGAAGAGTGATTCACAGATATAAAAGAGACAGACAGACACAAAGAAATAAAAAAGGTAAGATGAGTACTTTGGAAGGGGTCGAATGTGACAGATAGTAGGGCCATAGTAGTTTGAAGTCAGAAGTCAACTGCCGATCAATAGACTTTTTTGCCGTATAAGTGTACGTTGCCCAGGGTGCACCACGTGGAGGTAAGTCTATTGCGCACCCCAAGCTACTGAATATCATGTGTGGTTAATTTGCTTTATCGAGAATGAACTGAAGGGGCAATGCTGGCAATCATGACAAAAAAACAGTCGGTCAATAAACACTGGACATCTTGGGCCTACATTGGTTCATATTTTGAATTTTGGAATGCGAATGTGTCGCTAATGCCTATTGTACTACTTGGATTCAACACTCAAGCGAATTAAGACTCCTGTTGCTATTCCCATGTGTTTTATACTCAGATTTGAATGAAAAAGTTGATGATAAACAGTGATGAGTAACTGTGCTATTTTAGTGTTGCAATGCCGAAAACCATTGTCTTCTTCGTGGTAATGATGGAAACGAATATCGCAAGCAACAAACAAGTCTCCTATTAACTCCAACTCGAGTGACACAGCATGGCTGGGCAAATCTCTTTGCACTGACCGATACGGGTCTTCTTCGAAAGGATTGGGTCTGTGTGCGATCCAAGCGTGTTGGGGGACCTTTGGGTTCCCTCTGGGTGTTTTCCGACTACACCACAGATTTGAACCTCTGCCCAATTTCAGAATTGGAAAACCCCGACGAGCGAGAATGGTGGCGCAGTTGGATTCAAGAGCAAATGACTTCCATTGCAAATCTTCAGGCAAAGGACTCCGATAAAGGTTACCAGGCTGTGAGTACTACAAATCAACGTGAAGCAGAATATCGATGGGTATATGATAAGGTGAGTAACATAACTTGTGGAATCAAATGAAGGCTAGCGTTTGACAGCATTTATCTATATAGTTGCGTTATTATCAAGCATTTAAAATGCACAGAGTACTTGTTGGATTTATTCGAGGCCGAAGGAAGAATTTGTATGGATGATTTGACCTTGAGTAATCAATATTTCCTTATGGCTCTAATCGTGATTTCATTTGTTCGTTTTTATTTCAATTTGAATAATCCATTTACTGCAGCTTTAACAAGCAGCAGTTTGCAAGTGAATGGCCAATTTAGGACATACTCTGAGTCATACATTTTAGACCCCTGTAAATAAAACGAGGATCACGTCAGCACCGTCGTATCACCTTCGGTAAGCTCACTTGCTTGATTTTGATAGTGTTCTCTGTGCCCACACAACTGCAGACCTACTTGAATATTAACTTTACAATTTAAATATGCTGAAAAAACTGCTTATAATTGTTATTGGTTATTGTAAATGCTAGTTGAGTTTGACAAATTCCTCATTTTTTCCATTTTAAATATATTTCTTAAATTCTATTGACTCACTAAATCACTGCACACATATCAACGTATGCACTGATAAGTTTACTCAATGAGACACATACTCTGAATTGACTATTGTCATTTTCAGTCACTGTATTTATCAAAAGGAGACGTCATTCTAATTTGAGAGTTCATATTAACACTCGTGATCATTTCGGAAAATGCTTTTCCAACGTAAATCTTGGATAGAGTGGTGGTGTCAATATTGCGTCTCCTCGGTGAAAAACTGTTTCCTACCGTCCATATATTTATTAATATCAAATGGCAGACGTTTTAATAGTTATCATTAGCCCTGGAGTTGACTTCGGGCTTCGTAGAGAGGAGAAGGAACATCGAAGTGACAAAAAAGTTGAGTGGGGGAACAGGAGAGTGATTCACAGATGTAAAAGAGACAGACAGACAGACAGACACAACGGCATAAAAAAGGTAAGATGAGTACTTTGGAAGGGGTCGAATATGACAAGTAGTCGGGCCATAGTAGTTTGAAGTCAGTGGTCAACTGCCGATCAATAGACTTTTTGCCGTATAAGTATACGTTGCCCAGGTTGCACCACGTAGAGGTAAGACTATTGCGCACCCCAAGAAGTTAGTAACACTGGGTATTCCCAGCCGGTCACCCATGTAAGTACTAACTCGTCCCGACGTAGTTTAACTTCGGTGATCGGACGAGAACCGGTGCTTCCTACGTGGTATGGTCGCTGACCATTCAACTATTAAACTCTAAATTCACCACAGTCATAGCCTCTTTTGTAACTGGTTCCGCTTTCACTTGCTTTTATTGATATTTTATGCCTACTGCAACACCAGATCTAACGAATCCGTGGCAAAAATTAGTACATTTTGCTGCCTGTAAGTATATTAGCCGGAGTGTCCGAATGTGTGTTATTACCCCCTTACTATATCACGTAGGCATTATTAACTTTGTGCAATATAGCTGAAAGGAAATGAAGAGCAAGATCAATCTTATACATTTTTTATTTGGATTTGGTCCCGCACCTTTGGTACTTCTCGAGAATACTCCACTCTCCTACTTCGAATGCTTCAATATTCAACTTGGTTTTGCCTCTACCCTGGATCACATAATTTTAACGCCGATGAGAGCTTGCCAATCAATGGGTTAATTTTGTTGCTTGGGAAGCCACTTTGGATACATTTGTCTTCTTCTACCTCTTTTTCTAGTAGCCAATTAGTTTGCGTTATAATGGATCTTTTTCCTTAACCCCTGCTCTGTTTTCAGATATGTTCTCATCATGTTCATTAAATATTTTTTTTGTATCTGAATTATTAGATTCGCTAGGTATTAAAAAATTTATTTCACCCCCCCCCCCCTAATTTTCACATCATTTCCACATTGGAAATGAGCACTTATTCCATTCAATTATTTCATCCGCCTACATATTAATCTTATTAGTGATTGACGTGAATTTCAATAATTAGTTCTTTGCACTACCTCAAAGTGACGTGTTCGATTACTGTAATCTGATGACAGTCTAATGTCAGGCTACCTACTTAAATATTTTCGGTAAGTTTAATCGAGTACACTGTCTAACCAGTTTGTATTTGAACCCCTTTGCCAACTTATTCGCGATTGCCCTACTGCACTTCCTTATGCTATTAAATTCCTGGAAGTTTAGCATTTTTACTCCCCTTAAAGACTGACCGAAGTTGCCTCAACTTTCTAAATGACGATGAAAAGGGGTCTTCTTTGCCATTGCACTCAAGGGTTTCAAAATCTCTGGATGGCTTCGTTGTGGTCTGTTTGGGTTTTGCTAACGACATAAATGTGACGATTTTTAGCATTGGTGAAGATAGGTTAAGCAGGTGAAGCACATGAACTACTGAAAAGGTGACGAAATGTTCGTCAAACTTCAAGCTGAAAGCATAAATTAACACCCTAGATGAAATTCTTTACTCAAATTTTGAAATTCTCTAGTTTTTATTATTGATTTTAATAATAATCAGTAGGAAAAATAGTAAATGCCTATAGTTATGTAATTCTCATCTATTGTTAACAATTTATTATTATCGTTGTTTTGCTATTAAAATTTTAATTTGTTTTACATTCATCCACATTCTCTTTAGACAATTGATTTTCGGAGAAAATCATACACTTTAGGTGACCACAGTTTGAATAACTTAGATTTTAAACTTAGTTCAGCTTAACTTTTATCTTAATTCTCATGCATGCTCTCTTCAATATAGGTGATCTTCTACAGTCTCTCAAGTTTTGGGTATTTTTTCTAGTGAAACCTAATGAGATTTTTCTTTCCTCAGGTGATCGATCTAATTAGATTTAATTGCACGCGTTTGTGATTGTTTTGAAATTATTGCTACTAACTTTATTTCAGTAAGAATTATTTTGTGAATTATCTTATCACATTTTATTGTGTTTTATTTAAAGATTCATGGAAAACTGGTGAACGCGCAGACAGGGTACTGCTTGGATAGTAGTAATGGTGTTACACCAGTGCCGAAGCCATGTGTTGATGGAGCTCCTTCTCAAAATTGGCAGTTTAGTCACCATGGCTAAATTCTGCATTACGCCTTCTACTTGAATTTGTCTCATTTATCTACCATGACCTTATCTTTTTGTATTTTTGCCTTACTTTTCTGTGCAGCTTTTGCAATATTGAATGAAACGTGATATTTACAAATATAATGCTTTTGACTATTTTAACTATGAATATAAACTAAACTTTCTTATGGTGTATAGAGGAGTCAATGCTGTTGGCTGGGAGCCAATTCAGAAGATTTGATGTAAATGTACTGAATTTGGATATATGTACGAGAATGTAGTTAATGGTATAGCAAACTATATTGGATAATTCTTAGAATAAGTTCTCTCTGCTTCACATTCTACCGTACTAGTCGGAAGTCTTAGATGGCTAAATGATACCTATGAAATATCCACCTATTTCTTCAACGGCAAGGGAAAGACTTCTGTTTGGCAACATTAGTCAAAATGTTTATCGATTTAATCTCGAAGGCTAACAATGGAATTTAAAAGGAATTACCTATTGAGCTATTCTGCTATTCCTCAATAATGTTTCTCTTCAACTGCCTCTCTAGCTAATGGTATCTTAAACTCGGTTTCGAAAGCATTTAATTTGCAGAAATTTAATTCCAATTTCTATTAATGCTCGGATTAAATATTAATTTGCAAATAAACGCGCAGTCTCGCTAGAATTACTAATGAGGGCAATTATGAGTGATTAGCGTAACTTTTGGCTGATAAAAAAGTAGGCGATTCAGAAATTATTACAGTTATATAAGTCAATCATTCAATATTAAAAATTATTGTCTAATGTTTGCATTGCCAGTTACCGAAATTTTGTAAGCAATATAATAATTTGCTACGTGCCATTCAATTTACAATTTTCTCGCATTTTGCCTGCTTGTTAGGATCGACGCTCTTGGTAAAATACGATGCCGAAACCAATCCCTTACCTCCAAAACGACAATGTCAGAGTGTCTTATTTCATTAAATTTTGGTTTTCGGGTTTGAAGTGGATTGCTACACGAATATGCCTTTATTTATACTCAATAATATCTCTGGCAAGAACATCTAGTTTGGAGTGGTTCCAAAGAATAGCTAAGCTACCGCAAAACCTCAGAGAAAACAGACGTGTGACGTTTACTCAGGTGATGTTTAGTTGGGGAGTGTATACCGGTCGTGTTCGTTGTGCTGTATATTCTATTGGAGGTGTTATTGTTTGACATGAAGCTTAGTCGCTAGGTGCACTTTCGGGCGCCATTGCACAATGTGATGATTTAGGCTATTGATTGATCGAGAGGACTCGGCACTCGTGACCTCATATGCTCCTTGCTGTGATTGACACATTTGGACGCGCATGCGCTTCTTTGCTTTTGCTCTGCTAACGTTGTGTTTCCTACAGATTGCACAACTTTTCCCAAGTTCGTATTTCACGTCGCGTCACCTGAGAGTTGGATTGGAATGATCGTGGTTATTTTTTTGTCATGGTGCTCGCCGGTTTAATTAATCTTTGACGGTGGTAGAAAAAGCAAAAGTTAACCTAGTAGTTATAGCAGAGGTGAGGTGCATAAAAGTTTTTACGCTATTTGTGCTCATCCAATTTGAATGATTCTGTTACCCCCCCCCCCTCCCCTCCCCCATTATAAAGGCTCAAAAGGGAATATTTTTCGTGCCCACAGTTCAAACAAAGCGAAATATAGGCCTCTTGATCTTACGACCTGTTGAATGTACATTTCGAAATAATAATGAATGTACATATATTGGCATGCCATCACTACTCGTACACATCGATAAAGAGTGTCTTGTGGGACACGTTATCGCTCTGTGC